GTTGCAGCACCTTCTAGTAAAGCATATGGCAATGGTTTGTGTTTCATGAAGCATATTAAATTTATTTTCATTTATTACTATATCCATATATTTCATTTATGGACAAGCTTGATACATAAATCTCCTGTTTAAAAAAAATTGGTGGTGGCATGGGCAGAAATCAACAAAAACATGTTGTTGCAAGCTCCAATAACTGAGGTATGATCAAATATCCATAGCACATGTTATGTTTAATATCTATAATATAAACATATCTCAAGGTTTACATACTATATAATGTAGTTTGTGTACTCTTATATAGAGCTACAGACACCCACTATTTATTAGCTTATTTATTTACATTTCCAAGATTTTGATAAAATACGTTCTCCAAATCTTGTACATTTAAAGCATAAAAATAATAGTATAAAATCTAAAGCATAAACCCACAACAATAGGCACCAAAGGCATTTCCTTGCCAAAACTGAGCACATTAATGCTATTATCTTATAGAATTTATAACATTTCATATTCAAAGGAGAAAAGATAATTTGGATCAAGCATGAGCATATAAGCAAGTCCAGTTGGCATCTAGAAAATATATTTTCACAGGACTGTGCTGCAGCTGTAGAGCAAAGATGCAGCTGCTGTAGAGGTTCAGAGAAAAGATGCAGCTGCTTTAAGAAATTGTCAATAAATGATTTATGAGCATTCCAACATGCTGACATGCTTTTCTTTGAATTTGAATCTTTTGCTTCTTTAATCCTACAACTATATAAAATGAATATATAAATGCCAATAAAATAAAATTTCAGAATGATGTAGTTTTTTTAAAATACTGTTAAGGTTTGTCATTTTTATAAGTTGTGGGCTAATTAGACATAATTATTTAGAAAAAATACAAATGACCATTCATTTATTTTCTTTTATAATTCTATGTTGTTATGTGCATGATTGTCACAAGAATGGAATACTGGTTCAGCAGACTGATGATTTATGTATGGCCAGTCCTAGTTTTATATAAAAAACAGTGGATTTTGATGTAAAAGCCTTACGTTTTTAAATTTCTAAAATGTATCTTCCAAATTTTAGTATAACAGAATAATAGAGTTGGAAGGGACCTTGGAGGTCTTCTAGTCCAACCCCCAGCTGAAGCAGGAAACCCTATACCATTTCAGACAAATTTGTCAAATGTCTTCTTAAAAACTTCCAGCGTTGGAGCATTCACAACTTCTGGAGGTAAGTTGTTTCACTGATTAATTGTTCTAATAGTCAGGAAATTTCTCCTTAGTTCTAGGTTGCTTCTCTTCTTGATTAGTTTCCATCCATTGCTTCTTGTCGTGCATTCAAGTTCTTTGAAGAATAAGTTAACTCCCTCTTCTTTGTGGCAACCCCTGAGATATTGGAACACTGCTATCATGTCACAGAGGGAGAGGGAAAAGAAGGACAGTATCTCCAAGAGTAAGAAACTAATGCTTTTTAAGTCAGTTTTGCAGCAATCAATATAAATAGGATCTAACTTCACATATCGTTTGCTTTGATGTTCAAGAGACTGAATAATCATCTCTCTCATGGCAGGCTAAGCATATAGGAGTAGGAATAGAATCTTACTGCTGTACAACTCATGAAGGAGTAAAATATTCCTGGGAGCCAGTTTGGTAAAGGCACCATGCTAGAAACTGGTATACTGTGAATTCTAGTGCTGCCTTAGGCATAAAATCAGCTGGGTCACTTTGGTATGCATGTGTATTCCCATGAAAAATGTTAGCAAGGAGAAAGATTTTAGTCTTTTTCTTTGCTATATCAGACTTTTAAAATTTTACATTGTTTTTAAATGGACCAGTGGAAAATGGCTTCTGACAGCTAAAATTTTAGTGGAACAGTCTATATTATCCTCAATATCAAAATAAAAAGATCAAACTCCATCAAACTGACTTTTGATTCCTAGTGATTACATGTTCATGTCTATGAATTGTTCTTGGCAGTAATACAGGCATCAACTTGCCTTATTTCTAAGTATTTACTTAAGTTCTCAATCCAGTCTGCAGTCCTGTATTTTCTCGATTCAATCCTGAATACTATTTTTCAAGTTCAACTAGCATTGATTAGGTGCTGCTATCAGCTTTAGGTCAAGATACTATATATTGTCCCTTTAATTCCATTCCATTTTGTTGTAAAACGGGCCTGGCTTATTCAGTTTCATAAGACGTAACAATTTAACAGTTAACTTAGTTGTGGAGAGAATTTTGGGAAAATTAAAATGACTGCTGACCAGCTCAGATACCTTTTACCTACAACAGAGTGAGAGAGAGAAAGAAGCTAACAATGCTTATGGATATTTACTTTAGCTGGGCTTGCAAAGTTTAAATCTGCCATGATCATGCTCAAAGCACACTACATTTATTTAACTTGGAGTAAGTCTCTATAGGATTAAAGACTTAATTATCACTTATAATATCTGCTAAATTTCTGGGTCTGAAACATAATAGGGGCCTTTAAAAGTTTTAAGATAACAAATACAATTGTTTCAAATAAAATAAGTTTCTGAATTAGTTTTATTGATTGCAATTTATTTCTTTCCTATTTTATTTTACACTTTGCATTTGCTTTTGATTTAAAAGACCATTTAGATATGGTGGGATAATCATAACAATATGTTCAAACACAACAGTTTCCATATAAACTGGCCTTAAACTGATCCAATAATTTCTCCAGAAGCTTGAGGGTATTGCTAAGCTACATCACAGAAATCTGAAGAGAAAACCATTACGGCTATCTCCTGTTTAGTTTTTTTAATTAATGGAAAGCAGGAACGAACCTCTCAGATCTAAAAATACACAATGTCCCTCTGGAAAGCATAAGCTCGGTGGTTAGGCATTTTGAGCTGAGGTCATTCCTGTGCAAGACTGGTCCGTCCAACTCTGCCTCTTACTTCGCTTTTACTGCTCCATCAATGAAAAAGCTTTGGACCAGCATCAGCACCGTCCTTTATTCCCCCGCTGCTTCCTGCAATACAACCGCCTCATTTCTTTCACGCGGAAGAGAGGACGTCAAAGAAGTAAACACAAAAGCGAACCACGTCGTCTCTTTAATCGTTTGTCCCCACGGGAACACCATCCAAGTCACCTCTTGGGAGCGCTTCAACTTTTGAAGAAAGCAGAATTTCCGTCTTACTACCTCTACATGAACGGAGGCGCTCCGGCGCTCCGTCCTCACCTGGGACATCCCTACTGCCGCCTTGCACAACAGCAGGGATCCCCCCCTCCAGCCCATCACCAGCCTCCGCGCCTGCATCCCTGGCGTCGGGCGGACGCGGACCAGAATGCTCTGAATCGGCGCGGCCGAGTGGTGGTCGGCGGGAATCTCGCGAAAGGGTTGCCCTCCGACGACCCTTTTCTTTTACTCTGACGCAAATCCCACCGCGCTTCCTTGTGGCTAGGCGGGAGCTGGGCTGCAGCCTCCTCGCAGCCTCTCCAGGAAGGGGCCAGAGACCTTCCCTCGCCCGCTCAGCTCTTCCAATGCGCGCTTAAGCCGGCTCGCAAGCGGCTGCATCCAAAGGGCTTTAGTCCCCCCCAGCCCGGACGTTCACAGACCAATGCCCCGAACCCCTCTGCACGCCTTCTAGGAAGGCCGTTAGGACGCCCCCCCCCCAACGCACACACACATAGCAAGAAAAGACGGCAACATCCGGGTGCTTGCAGGAAGGCCTTGGACCGCGCATGCTCCGCCTCGGTCGCTTCTGCTTTGCCACTACCAGCAGTTTAAGGAGACAACAGCGATAGCTACCACAGGGCTGGTGGGGAAGGAGGAAGACGGTGTTGCGCCGCCGCCGCCGCTTCACGGTGGGGTCGCCTTTTTGTGTTGTCAGGCGAGAAGGAGGAGGAGGAGGCGGCAGCAATAGCAGCAGCAGCTGCCGGCATAGCCTTTGCAGGAGGATGGTTGTGGGGGCGTGTGACAGCCGGCGGCACCAAAGTCCCCGCGAAGCGCCGCTGGCGACACTCCCGGAGCAGGAGTCACGCTGAGGGGCAGCGTTGCCGGCGAGGCAGGGCGGACGGACAGCCAGCCAGCCAGCCAGTGCAATCACCGGGCGGCGGGAATTTGCAGCTGTGCCGGGGAGAGAGAGAGACTGTGGTGGGCACCCGGCGAGATGATGGACAGCCGCTTCTACTCCCCTTAAGGGAAAAAGGGGTGGGAAGTTGAGGCGGTCGTTGCTGTCACTTCTGGGCTCGCAGCCGCACGAGGAGGAGGAGGAGGAAGGAGGAAGGAGGGAGGGGGCGGGCAGAGGCAGGCTCGGGCTCCCCTCGCCGCGCAGCAGTAGTAGCAAAGCGGGAGGGGTGGGTGAGGAGAATCGTTGCAAGAAAAGGGTTTGAACAGGAAAGGCGGCGCAGGCAAAGGGCAGCCTGCGAAAGGCGGTCGGAGCGGCCTTCCCGGAGCCTAGAGGGCGCCCCGGGTGGGGGGTCGGGGGCAGAGCCGTCTGCCAGAGGGCGAGCTGCTCGCCTGAGCGTGCGTGTAAGCGCGCTGGCGTGGCGAGCGGCAGAAAGGAGCCGCCGCCGCGCTACTACGTTAATCTCGCCGCTAGCTTTATTTACTTCGTGCGCTCCTTCCTTTCTCTTCCTGTTCGGCGCTTTCCTCTTCCTTGGTCAGGTCCACTCCCTCCCTCAGCTGATAAGGGTGACTGCTCTGCCCCTTCGTCGTCCGCGCCTGCCTCGAGCAAGCCCTTTCCCCTCGCCTCTGCTTTCCCGCCCTGCGCCCAGACCGAGGGTGGGAGAGAATGGTTGGATGAAGGCAGAGCCGAAGGGGAAAGCGGAGACTTCGAAGCGTCCTTCCTTTTGCTTCCCCCTCCCTTTGCAGCGGGACCCCTCGCTCTGCCCGCCTGCTGCTGCTTCCTCCTCCCTTCCTCCGCTCGTCTGGATGAGGTGTGTGGTCGGGCGGGAGTAGGAGCCACGGCCAGAGGGGGGTGGAGAGGGGGAGGAGGAGGAGGAGGGGGAGGAAGAAGAAAAGGGTGCGCCGCCGGAGAGACCATGAGGAAATTTAACATCAGAAAGGTGTTGGACGGCCTGGCGGGCTCGTCGTCCTCCTCTTCAGCTTCCTCCTCCTCGCAGCAGCAGCAGTCTGCCACCCGGGAGAACGACATCCAGGAGACCCTCCAGTCCGAGCACTTCCAGCTCTGCAAGGTGAATAATGCTGCAGCCGGTTGGGAAGAAATGGTGGGGGGGGGGGAGAGAAGCAGAGGATGATGTAGCCATGATGGGTTCTGCAGACTCTGGACTCCGATGCTTTTAAAGCTGTCGGTTTAATTATTATTATTATTTTAATTTGTGGGTGGGGGAAGAAGAGCAACCGCGAGGATGACGTGATGAGGGACCCTCAGCTTTTATTGACGAGCATCTTTCCCTGATGGCTATTTATCCCTTGAATTTTAAGCTGCAGATATGTACATGTATATCTTAAGGTGCTTGGAGGGAAGCCTCTAAATGTGTGCTTCACTGTTGAACACAATTAAAATGCCACTCTGGTGCGATCAGAGGACAGGGTACTAAAGGCTCTGCATTACCAGCAACGCGGGGATTTTAACAGGCTTCAGTAAATGTGGTTCTCTAAATATAGAGGCAATATTTCTTCATTTTGGGAATGGAGGAAGAAGTAATACTAATAGGAAGGGAGATTACTTCTCAGATGGGATGCAGTAAATGCAGTTGGAGTCTAAATTCCAAAACGGTGATGCAGCAGATTAATTCACCAGCTGTGCCAAATTGAAACACAAAAGGAAGTGGATGTTCATCTCCACCTTTAGACACCTGTGGCCTAAACTGCTGTAGTTTGGCTTGTAGATTGAATAATTGAATACTTTATCTAAATAATGGGTTAGGATTGATCCTTAAGATACAAAACATTTTGATTGTACCTGCCTGTGCTGTTTGCTCATTACCCCACACATAATGAGGTTAAGTACATCTCTAGTTGTTAAAAATAAAAAGGAGGAGCATTGGTGGCCATTGTAATGTATTAAATGCAGAAGTGTCTGTGTGTTTTTAAAAAAAACTTCTGTGTAATTTAAGGCCTTTAGAGAAATAGAGATAGCTCTCCAAAGAGCTGTCTTAATAATTTGTGAATATTTAATTTACAGGAAAGGCTGCATCATCAAATTTCTCTGTCTCAGATTATAATACAGTTTAATTTTTGCAAGAGTTTCTAAAATGTAGTAAAGTGAGAAGTGAATGATAAACTTATCTATGGGTAAGGCTTCATTTTGTTATCCCTATGTTCAATAAGATTCAAATGCATTCTAGTCTATTTTCCCCCCAAGTTAAAAAAAATCTTTTGTACACAAAATGAAGTCATTTCTTCCTAAAACATTGGCTTTCTATTTTTCTTTGGTTGCCTGAATCGCCATTGCTTCACTACCTTGACTTGACAGACTGTACGCCATGGTTTCCCCTATCAGCCTTCAGCCTTGGCTTTTGATCCTGTTCAGAAGATACTTGCTATTGGAACACAAACTGGCGCTCTAAGGCTGTATCCTTTTGTTATGTTTTTAAAAGAAAATACTTAAGAAGGCTGCCCTTGTGTTCTATTTAATCTTGGAGTTACTGTGACAAAGCACTCTGCAAATCAGGTATGCATTTGAATGGGGGAGACAAAAAAGTTGTTTCTTTGCATTTACTTCTGCATGTGTGATGTAAGTCTTCCAGTATTGGAAGTATAAGACATCCTGGAAAACATGTTGGTTATTTTTACAGGTTATGAGTTGATAACTTTTATTGATTATTAAAGCAGAGTCATTATTTTCCATGTTGTAAACTAAAAACTTGAATTAGGATTGTTGGGGAGCTTTGTCTTGTAACCTAGTACCTTAAAACGTGAATTAGAAATGTACCACTGGGTTCTGTTTTTTAAAATGTTTTGATAAGTAAAATGTTTTTGTTGTTTAATGGTAAATGAAGTAGTTTTTGTATGGCTTTCAAGTTTAGAACATGATAGAGTTTAAGATTATTTCATAACTCAATTAGAGAGAACCAAAATTGAGCCAATATATGGTTTTATTGGTAGCAGTGATAACATTTAATGTTTATTAATAGATAAGGAATGGATGTATATTAAGCACTAACAATATATTCTCCTTTGGAAAAACTTTTGAGATATAAAGGAATTGTTGGCTTGTGTAGATGATCTAGGTACATAGTTAATAAGTGATGGTGTTTTTTTAATAGAAGTTTAAGGTAAACAAAAGCAATTCATTTGGGGATGAACTAAAGAAACAGTAACTGCTTCTGTATTCTTGCCAAGAAAATTGCATGGACCTATCTATGAAGTTACCAAGAGACTTTACCTTTTAATGACCTCTTCTGCTGTGGCAACATCTTAAATTACAAAAACTATTGTAATTTATTAAAATGTGTTACAATTTTAATTTAATTAAAATGTTAATGCTGATTTTATTAAGATACCTATCCCATTTTTAAAAAAACTAATGATGGTAGGGATGGAAGTATTGGTCTTTTTATCAGTCACAACAAAAAGTACTTGCAGTGAAGTGTTAATATAATCAAAGAATTTAAAAGAAAGGTTGGATACAATCTGTGCCTTCAATACTTAATGTTTTTCTGTTTACAAACTAAACATCTTTCTGTCTGCATTATACATGGCAATTCCTTCTCAACTCTAGCAGTTGCTTAAAGAGAAGAATACGTGCTGCTAATTTGCTGGACTATAAAGTATGGCTCTTTAGAAAAATACTGAACATTTGAAATTGGTTTCCATATATTGACCTGCCCTCATTGAGAGTAGAGCTTAGATTCCCTGTGGAGTAAAATAAGCAGTGTAACCCCTTGGTGAAAGATTCTTTTCTTGACACTGCTAATACATTAGAAACAAGTGAAGATGCATAGGAGCCAGTGTAAATCATTTGTTGAAGAAATTATAGCAAAATAACCAGTTGGATAAGAGCTGAACCATTGCATTCTGGAACACAATTTTATGTTGAAAGTTTTCAAATATGGAGACATTGGATAAAACTAAATTAGAAGACTAGAAAGCGTCATTGATATCAATGGATATGCACAGTTTTAATGGTTGTGCCTATGCTACCCATGCTGCAAGTAAGAATTGAAAAATATAAAATAGCTACACTAATTGTAGAAAAATAGTTTTTAATCCTGGGACAAGTAGCTTGGCATGCTTTTCAAATCTTCCTATATAACAAATAGTAGAATTAAGATTATTAGTGTGGTTTTCTATCTTTTACCATGTTCCCTAGCCCCTTAGTTGCAGCATATTTGCAGAATTGGAATGTGATAATTAGATGGCTTGTAATTTGTAGTAAAATATAGTTAAGTCAGAAAAAATCCTGGATTTGGAATGATAAGGTTGTGTGTTTTTTTTTACTTCCCCTGTGCAAAAAAAAGGCATGGAGATACCTTAATAGGTGGTTGAAGTCTAGGAATAGGATTTTGTACTTGTCAATCACACATAGATGCTAAAGGAGACTACTGCCCTATATTTCAGATTCCTGGAATACGTACTTATTGAGACCAGTGGCACCATAAATAGCAATTTCTGGAAAGGTTTGCTGCATAAACACAGCTTGCTTTGTTCACTATGGAAACTACAGTGAAATTTCTAAATTTTATACACTGCTGAAAGCTTTTTTCTAGTTTCTTTTAAATATTTAGTAAAATGTACAGTGAAACCTACTTTTACTATTCTGTGTATAAATGTTTATCCATTCCTCTTAAACAAATTTTTAGTTTTATCAACCTTCATCAGACTAGTCAATTTCATCTCTATTTTAAAGATCCTGTGTATACAATTATATTAATAATATGTATACAATTATATTGTTGTTTCCTTGTTTCTTAAGTCACGGCTTTTCAACCAGTGGTACGGGTACCACCTGTGGTACATTGGCACCTGGCAGGTGGTACGCGACCATTCTAGAAAAGTGGTAGCGGAGGAGGGGAATGAACTGAACTGTTGGCAGCACCGCACAAGTGTGAGCGAGAGATGGCTGGAGCTGCAGGGCTGTCAGGGCTCAGTCGAAGTGCCAGGATCAGTGCCGCTTTCCAGCTGATCAGCACTTCTTCGGGGCTGTCAGGGCTCAGTGGAAGCGCCAGGATCAGCGCCAGGCTCCAGCTGGAGCTTGGCGCTGATCCTGGTGCTTCTGCTGAGCCCTGAAGAAGCACCAATCAGCTGGAAAGTGGCACTGATTCTGATGCTTCTGCTGAGCCCAGAAGAAGCGCCGATCAGCTGGAATGTTGCATCACCTCCAGGGTCTTGTGATTTATATTCAGATGCTTGGCAACCGATTCATATTTATGATGGTCAGTGTCCCGGGGTCATGTGAATTGATCAAAACCTGCTGCAACCACCCACCAGACGGGGGGGAATAAAAACCAAACACCCCCCCACCCCACCCCCGCTGTCAGTCCTCAACAGAAATGCTCACAACAATGAAAACCTCGGAAAGGAGGAAGAGCACCACCGGGTGGGCAGGCAGGTGTCTTGCTCGGCTGTGGCTTGGGGGGCACTTTTTTCAGTGCCATTGTAACTTCTAAGAGTCACTAAGTGAACTGTTGTAAGTCAAGGACTACCTGTACTTAATCACTTTTTTCCTTCTTTTTTTTTTTGGTCATCAAGTTTTTGACACCTTGCTAGGCGATTGGTGGTACTCAGATGTTGCCATATCCTAAAAGTGGTACAGTGGGTGAAAAGGTTGAAAAGCCCTCCCTTAAGTAACTGCTTCTTTACATGAAAAAGAGGTTTCAAATCTGGCTCTTTTAAGGGTCCTGGTATTACTGGGATCAACAAACTGTACCCAACAATATACATAGTAGTCCTTGACTTACAATCACAATTAAGCCCCAAATTTCTGTTGCTAAACAAAATAATTGTTAAGTGAGTTTTGCCCCATTTTATGACCTTTCTTGCCACAGTAGTTAAGTTAACCTCTGCAGTTGTTAACTTAGTAATGAAGTTTTTAAGTCACAAAGGTACTTTTTCAAAAGGCAACTGGACTTCGTTTTTTCTGTAAAGAAGACGTTTCACTTCTCATCTAAGAAGCTTCATCAATTCTGATTGGATGGAGGGGAGGATGGACAGATTAGTTCTGAGGTTGTTAAGTGAATCTGGCCTCTCTATGGACTTAGCTTGTCAGAATATCGCAGAAGGTGATCACATGGTCCTGGTACACTGTGGCCATCATAAAGACATTTTATTAAGAGGTACATGATTTTACGAACTTAGTGCCCTTCATTAGATGCTACAGAGTGGCTAGGTTCTCAAAGTACAGAAATCAGGCAATTTCAACTGCCCCACCATTTCAAGCACATGGAACCACCATAGCTGGAATATTGGGCTTCGTAGACCCTCCAAATCTAGCTATTCCACTGCATCTAATTAAGCAAGCTTAGTTCACATGCTTTTTAACAAAATTTATTAGTTGAAATTTTATTAGTTCTTCTGATTTTTGGATACCATAGACTAGCTGCCATTCAGCTCTCTTTCTACATTTCTATTTGTTTTAGTAATTCTTTATTATTACTACAGCATAGTTTCAAAAGATTTCTTTTCTGTAGCTATTCATTTTCAAGCAGTGATCGATAACAATGTCCCTCCTGTCAAGATTAATATTCTCATAAGCCCCCTATAAGTTGCAGCCTAGTAACTTCTTGAGTTTTCCTTCTCTGAACAGTTGATCAATTTGAATCAGTTGACTTAGGGATTGGCAAGTAATGCCACAGGAATGTTTCAGGTGGGATCTGCAAAAATGTAACCTTAATAAATTAAAATCTTTTGAAATCTGCATGATTTCAAAAACCCATAAGCTATTTTTAATTTCTGATGACCCATCGCATTGAACAATATCTCACAGTAGAATCTTAACTAGGAGAATTGTATCTTACTTTAGAGAGATATAATTGGTATAATTGTTAAGGCATAAGACTAGAAACCAGGAGATTGTGAGTTCTAATCCTACACTTGGGCACAAAACCAGCTGAATGACCTTGGGCAGTCACTTTTTTCAGCCCTAAGAAGAAGGCAATGGCAAACCATTTCTTTAAAAAAAAACCTTGCCAAGAAAACTGCAGGGAGTAGTCCAGGCAGTCTTAGAGAATTGGATCTGATTGAACAACAACAACAAAAAGAACTATTTTGAAACCACTGGAGTGACTGAGTCACATTCATCCAGAATTCAGATTCTGTTTTTGCTTAATTCTTAAATGTACTGAGGGGTTTGTTTCTGTTAGCACTCCAGATTTTTCAAGCTGTAGAAAAATAAAATTATGATGCATCTATTGACTTAAAGAACTAACAAATCTCACAAAATACACAAAACATACTTTTGATAGTTATCTATTATCATAAGCATAAAACAATATATTTGGGGAATTCAGTTTTATAAATTAGATAATACCAGGTACTGTTAGTTGGGCATGTGACTAAATTATTAGGTGATTATTTTATTTAAAAATTCACTGTACATTTTTTAAAATGACATTTCAGTCATAAAAAGAGAA